ACAGAAGGATGGGTTCTGTCTTCAAATCCATTCTGCTAGCCTGTGTCTTTTTATGGGTGAGTTAAGGCCATTAATGTTGAGGGATATTAATGACCACTGATTGCTCATTCTTCTTCGATTTGCAATGGTTGTTAGTGGTGGAATTATGTGTGGAATTTCACCCCTTTGTTCTTTTGGCTCTTGGTAGAGAGGGATTCTCTAATGCCTATGTTTTTCTGGTTGTAGTTAACTTCCTTTCATTGGAGTTTTCCTTCCAAAACTTTCTGTAGGGCTGGGTTAGTGGATATGTATTGCTTGAATCTAGTTTTTTCATGGAATATCTTGTTCTCCATCTATATTGATTGAGAGCTTTGCCAGGTATAGTAGTCTGGGCTGGCATCCATGGTCTCTTAGTATTGGTAGAATATCTATCCAGGACCTTCTGGCTTTCAGAGTTTCCATGGAAAAGTCAGGTGTAATTCTGATAGGTCTGCCTTTATATGTTACTTAGCCATTTTCCTTAGCTGCTCTTAATATTCTTTCTTTATTCTGTATATTTGTGGTCTTGATTATTTTGTGGCGAGGGGACTTTTTTTGTGATCCACTCTATTTGGTGTTCTGTAAGCTTCTTGTACCTTCATTCTTTCTTAAGGTTGGGAATGTTTTCTTCTATGATTTTGTTGAATATGTTTTCTGCCCCTTTGAGGTGGTTTTCTTCTCCTTCTTCTATACCTATTATTCTTAGGTTTGTTCTTTTCATGGTGTCCCATATTTCCTGGATGTTTTGTGTTAAGGATTTGTTGGACTTAAGATTTTCTTTGGTTGATGAATCCATTTCTCCTAGTGTATCTTCAACACCTGAGATTCTCTCTTCCATCTCTTGTATTCTATTGGTAATGCTTGTATCGATAGTACCTGACCGTTTGCCCAGCTTTTCTATTTCCAGCTTTCTTCAGATTGTGTTTTTTTTTATTGTCTCTATTTCAGTTTTCAACCCTTGGACTGTTTTCATTGTTTCTTGTAATTTTCGGTTTATCTTTTCATCCATTTGTTGCATCTTATGAATTTTTTGGTTTGTTCTTTCTTCCATTTCTTGCATTTTTGGTTGCTATTTCTTGCAATTTTTGGTTTGCTTTTTCTTCCAGTTCTTGTATTTTTTGGTTTGTTTTTTCTTCCATTTCCTGCCTTTTTTGGTTTGTGTTTTCTTCCATTTCTTGCATTTTTTACTTTGTGTCTACTTCCATTTCTTGCATTTTTTGCTTTGTTTTTTCTTCCATTTCTTGCATTTTTTGCTTTGTTTCTTCTTCCATTCCTGCCTTGTTTTGTTTGTGTTTTCTTCCATTTCTTGCATTTTTTGGTTTGTTTTTTCTTCCATTTCTTGCATTTTTTGCTTTGTTTTTTCATCCATTTCTTTGAGGGATCTTCCTATATCCTCTTTTAGGGCCTCTATCATTTTCATGAAAGTGGTTTTAAGGTCATTCTCTTCTGCTTCATTTGCATTGGAATGTTGGAATCTTGCTGGAGTCTCTAGAATCTGGTGGTGTTTTTCTGCTGCTGTGTGTGTTTTTGTATTGTCTCTTTCCCATCTCTTCTTCTAGTGGGTGCAGAAAGAGCCCCTTACTAGTCTGGTGGTTACTGGACCAGAGTTGCTTTTGGTGGGTGCTAGCAAGTCCAATAATCTGGTAGTTCTTCTATTCCTTGTCCTTGTTCTGGTCCCTGGACCCGCCAGAACATCTGGTCCCCTGTGTCCCTGGATCAGCTAGTTTCCTGGTCTCGTTGGTGGGAGAGGAAACCTGGAATCTGGGGTGCCTGGCTCTTGCTGGGATTGGAAGCTCTGTGCTGTTCCCAGTCGATCCCTAGGCACTGGAACACAGGCCCAGATGCAGGGTCTGTTTTACCTGGACCCGCCGGAACAGCTGGTCCCCTGGGCTCCCTGGATCAGCTAGTTTCGTTGTCTCGTTGGTGGGAGAGAAGTCCTGGAGTCTGTGGTGTTTGGCTCCCGCCGGGATTGGAAGCTCTGCACAGTTCCCAGGAGATCCCCAGGCACTGGACCCGTCAGAACAGCTGGTCCCCTGGTCTCCCTGGCTCCTCTGGTCGATGAGAAATTCTGAAATAGTCTCCTTCACGGTACTCCTTAGGAATGGCCACAGAAGCGGCTGTTGGTGGGCTGCATAAAGAGCAGAAGAATTACGTGCTCTGAACCAGTGGCAGGGACAACAACATAGTGCACCTGCTGTTAGAGAAGTGTCATTATTATTATAGACCAAAGAGAGTAAGTTTAACTCTCTTTGTAAATGCATTGTGGGTGCCAATCTGAGTGTTCTCAACTTGGTTGTTATGGAGCAGAGGGTAAAGAAGTACATTCCTGGACTAACCGGTACTACTGTTCTTCAATTGTTAAGGCCCCAAAGAGCCAGCAGAATCGGAAAGCTTTTTAGTCTTTCTGAAGGAAATGATGTCCCCAATACATTGTCAGAAAGCCCTTAAACAAAGAAGGTAAGAAGCCCAGGACCAGCCGGGCAGTGGTGGCGCACGCCTTTAATTCCAGCACTCAGGAGGCAGAGGCAGGCGGATCTCTGTGAGTTTGAGGCCGGGCTGGACCAATAGCCTCCAAAACAATACAGAGAAACCCTGTCTCGTAAAAACCAAAAAAAAAAAAAAAAAAAAAAGAATCCCAGGACCAAAGCAGCCGCAATTTAGCGTCTTCTTACTCCATGTGCCCTGCAACCCAAACACTGATGTATGTACTCCTCCAAAGAGACCACACACACAGGGAAGGAGGAGGCTGCAAAAATGTTAGAATTTTAGCCAGGAGAATGAATGAAACCAAAGGAAAAAAATCCAGGAACAAACTGCCCAAAGATGTAGGCTGTCCACACTGAGAGTTTCTACTGCTGGGTCCAGACAAGAACAAATGATCAGACCTTGAAAAGCACAATAAAATATGTAAGATAATAAAATAAATAAAATGAGTGGGAGAAAAGCTAGTTGGTACAGTAACCAAAAGTGCTAGTATACAATTTGGTAAATATCAGAAAACCTGTCCTTCAATGCATAATGGGAATATAAAACTACTATTTGCAGAAGACTGTTAGTGGTGTCTTACTAAAGCTTTTTCCAGTGAATAGACCACTTGTGATGAACAGTAGTGAAACTGGAGTTCATGTGGTTGGGATCCCTTTCCCCATTCTTCCCTCAAGCATCTAAATTGAGCTCCAGAGGCTCCATCACTGCAAACTGGTCCTCACTGTCCCTGCCCCTGTCTCCTACTTGCTTTCTCTCCCATTTGCAGCTTGCCGTCTGCCTGGCCTTTTTGCTCTACTGCCTATTTAGGTGAGGCCTCGAGGGCGCCTTATCCGTCTTTCTGAAAATCAGGCTGTTGAACTAGATCACCAGAGCTGAGAGCTCAAACTGAGCTCTGGGTTATCTCTGTTTCTCTTTCTCTACCTCTACTGGGTTTCTTCTTTCTTTAGTTATCAGCAACAGAAACAGACCAAGTATAACTCATTTAAAAAATAACTCTTGGTATAAAACTTAATGAAAATTTTCCTTTGAACAAATACTTTTTGCCATTCTAATACACTAGGCATATGTTATATAGTGAATGTTCATTGAAAGGTAGATTCCATCTTCATGGAGCTTTTGTGAATGTGAAGTCCCAAATATAAAATAAACATTTTGCATCTAGTGCAAACTACCAAAATGTTACATATTGATCCCTATACAAGTATAAAATGATTCTAATTAAATATCTTACTTGCATCATTCATTATCATTCTTCAAGAAATTGTTCCAGTAATATGTACTACTTAAGAAACACTCAACTGATCAAATAAAAACAGAAAGCCAATGATAAAATTTTGTCTTTGTTTTATGAGAATCCCCAGCAACTTGAAGTAATGTGTACCTTAATCTGCTGAGTGTGAATTAACGTTCACTTAGTTTTACAATCTTATACTCATTTCAGGAACAACCCATCTCTCCCCTAAAGAGCACTGATCCCAGCCGGGTGGTGGTGGCGCATGCCTTTAATCCCAGCACTCGGGAGGCAGAGGCAGGCGGATCTCTGTGAGTTCGAGGCCGGGCTGGACCGATAAGCCTCCAAAACAATACAGAGAAACCCTGTCACGTAAAAACCAAAAAAAAAAAAAAGTGCACTGATCCCTACCATAACTCTCAAGACCTTCTATGGCCACTTCAAGTTATCCGACTTATAGCTCAGCCTAAATCATTCATTTGACATCTCTTGGAAATTTAATTTTAAAAAAGGCAAAGTGTCTCAGGCTGAATTTGTTACTTGGTTGGTAAAGTGCTTGCATAGCATGCATAAAACGCTGAGTTCTCCAACACTGTGTAAAAACAGGCATGGTAATATGGTGATATACACAAGTAAGCTCAGCACATGAGAGGTAGAGGGACCACGAGCTGGAGTTCAATGTCATTCCTAGCTACATAGAGAGTTCAGTTCAAAGTCAGCCTGGACAAATGAGACCCTATCTCTAGATAGATAGATGATAGACAGGTTGGTAGATGCATGGATGGGTGGGTGGATGGATGGATGGATGGATGGATGGATGGATGGGCAGATGGGCAGATGGGCAGATGGATGAAAAATCAGATAGGCAGACAGGCACAGATAGACAAATCAGTCTCTAAGTATTGGATCTGGTATGTTTCTCTTCTTAGGGAAATAATGGACTCTTTTTCCTTATTTTATGATTCCTAGGTTTCTGGAGCAGTTTGGATTTATATCCTCTATAGAATCTGATTCTTCACCTGTCTTTCTAACACTTTCCCTTTATATATCCTTTTACACTTTGTGTAGCCAAATGAGAATTCTATTGTTTATAAACTGAAGACCTAATGAATGAATCCAGGTACACAGAATATCATCTTAAAATGCAGATAGAAATATAAAATTTAGTCCCCCTTCCATTGCTAGGGGTAGATAAAAGGTCTTTTCATTAGCCAGAAATTTATTCTAAACTGAGCACCAAACAAGAAAAGACTGCAGTACTCACATTTTTTCCTGTCCATCCATTCCTCTAACTCTCCAAAGTTTATTATCTGTCTTGTCCTCCAAAGACCAAGTCGATGTCTAATACGGTGGATTAAACACTGATACATGTTGACTACTGCTTTCAAACTTGGTCCATGATATGAAGACTATGAAAAGAAATAAAGTAGCTATTTATACCTACTTGGGCATCTATAGTGAACAGTTAGGTAAAGGTCTGTTTTGAAAGTCTTCTGCATAGAAGTATGCACTCCACCACAGCCATCTGTGTACTCCACCACTCTCTGAGCACTGAGCCACTCCCATCAAATTCCCTTTTATGCTGGTCAGTTTTTTTGCTGTTGTGACACAAGCTGGATTCATCTGGGAAAAGGAAGCCACAATTGGGAAAATGCTCCCATTACATTGCCTGTGGGCAAGTCTTTGAGGACATTGTCTTGGTTAAATATTGAGCAGGAATGTCCAGCCTACTAGGAGAGGTGCCACCCCTGGGCAAGCGGTGCTGGGTGGTATGAGAAACCAAGCTGAACAAGACATGGTGAAAAAGTCAGTAAGCATTACTACTCCAGGGTTTTGCTTCAGTTCCTCCCTTCCTTCCTTCAGTGGCAGAGGCTATGTAAAGAAGTTAATACCTCCCCCACAAGTACCAAAGCTAAGGAAAGCAAAGTAGGATGCCTTTCCTGCTGTGGCAGACTGAACTCCTCTGAACTATGAGTCAAAGCAAATCCTTCAGGAATACATTGCTTTTTTGTCAACACTATCTTCCAGGATGTATTTTAATCTGTCTTCTATTTGATTCTGGTATGTGTCTCTTTCAGCACAGTGACACTTAGTAGGAGAGATTTCCTCTACTTATTAGCAAGAGCAGCCCCTTCCCTGTTTACTGCCCGTTTATTCTGTTCCATCTGTGGAGTACCAGCGACTGTCTTCTTTGCTATTTTACTATTCTCTGTATTGCTCAGGGCTTCATAAGAGAGTGTAAAAGGCTACGATAGTTTCTTAACCCAGGTATCTATCACAATAAATGTTTTTGTGTTGGTTTCATTCAACTCTTAGAAAATGATGTGACAGGCCCTAAGAACCTTGTCTAAGCACTGACATATTCAGTATTGAAGAGGGTCTTTATTACAAAACCTCATAAAGTAGGAAGAAAAACAAATGACTAAGCCCGTGAAATAAAATTCAAAATAACAAAATGAAATAAAAAAGAATGTTCTAAATAGTTGCTTTAAGTTCATATACACATACACTCATTTAAATATGCAAGTGACAAATACAATAAACATCAATTGTGATTTGGATACCCATTTCCCCAACGAATAAAATGTTACTGACACTCTGAGCCATGTAGAGATGAAGAAGACACTGTGCCTGTCTCCTTCCTCAATGTGGTATCTACTTCATAACTGTTTATTAGGTTATTTTCCTTCTAGTAGAATGCAATTCCTTGATAATATGAATCTTAGATATCCATTAAATTGTCTGCAAGATCCAGAACATTCCTGTGACTCATTTGGAGCCTAATGCATATTCTTGAATAACTAAGTGAAATGTATAATAGCACATTGGGGTCAAGTGAATTTTTTCCTAAATATTCTTTATCAGTCTCTTAGTCAAGTGTATCTTCTGAATATCCTGCTCACACCCACAAATTTTAGCATCATTATATTTTTATGGTAACTAGAGTCATGGGAGTAGATGTCATTGTTTCAGAAATTATGTACAGTAAAAATAGAATCCTGTAAAAGGAAGATTGAGACAGATACCTGTCTAGGGGAAATAGATTTGTTCCATAAACACTGAAGCAATAACCAGTGATGTAAGAAAATAACATGCTTGATCATAGAAACTCAAAGAAACAAGTTGATAGATTTGCTCTTTATAAGTTGAATTACTTTGACAGATTTTCATATGTGGAACCATCCCTGCATCTCTGGCATGAAGCCTACTTGGTCATGGTGGATGATCTCTTTAATGTGTTCTTGGATTCAGTTTTCCAGCATTTTATTGAGTATTTCTGCATCAGTGTCCATGAGTGAAATTGATCTGTAATCCTCTTTCTTTATTGTGTCTTTGCATGGTTTGGGTATCAAGGTAACTGTAGTTTCATAGAAAAAAAATATGGCAATGTTCCTTCGGTATCTATTTTGCGGAATAATTTTAAGAGTAATAGTAATAGCTTTTCTTTGAAAATCTGGTAGAATTCTGCATTAAAACCATGTGATCCTGGGCTTTTTTGATTGCCTCTATCTCCTTAGGAGTCTATTTAAATTTTGATTTCATCTTGATTAACTTTGGTTAGTTGTATCTATTAAGAAATTTATCAATTTCTTTTAGATTTTCATTGTAGAATACAGGTTTCTGATTCTCTGGCTTTGCTCACAGTCTGTTGTTATATCTACCATTTTGTTTCTGATTTTGTTGGTTTGGATATTCTCTCGCTGGCTTTTAGTTTGGGTAAGGGTTTATATATTTTGTTGATTTTTCTCAAAGAACCAACTCTTAGCTTCATTGATTCTTTGTGTTGTTCTCTTTGCATCTTTTTTTAATCTCAGTCCTCAATTTATTTTCTGCCATCTACTCCTCTTAGGTGTGTCTATTTCCTTTTGTTCTAGAGTTCCAGGTGTGTGGTTAAGTTGCTAGTATGAGATCGCTTCAAATTCTCCATGAAGGCACTTGGCCCTGCTTTTATTGTGTCCTACCAGTTTGGGCATTTTGTGCACTCATTTTTATTAAATTCTAGGAAGTCTTGGACTTCTTTCTTTGTTTCTTCCTTGATCAAATAGTAACTAAGTAGAGAGCAGTTCAGTTTCCATGAGTTTGTGTTCTTTCTTTTTTTTCTGTCATTGTGGAAATCCAGCTTTAATCCAGGGGTGCCTAATAAAAAACTGGGTTATTTTTTATTTTAATTTTTTGTATCTGTTGAGATTTGCTTTGTGGCTGAGAGTTATATGGTCAACTTAGATAAGGTTCCATGTCATTCTGAGAAGAATGTATTTTCTTTTGTGTTTGGGTTAAATGTTCTATAGATATCTGTTAGATCCATTTGAGTCATGGCATCTATTAGTTCCTTTAGGTCTTGTTCAATTTCTATCTAGATGGCCTGTCCATTGGTGAGAGTGGGATGTTAAAATCTCTCACCATTACTAGGTGGAGTTCTATGTGTGATTTAAGCTTTAGTAAGATTCCTTTTATAAATGTGGTACCCTTACATTTGGGGAAAAGATGTTCAGAATTGAGACATCTTAGTGGAGTTTTCCTTTGATGAATATGAGATGCCCTCTCTATCTCTTTTGATTAATTTTGGTTGGAAATCTATTTTGTTAGATATTAGGATGTCCGAAATGTCTTGCTTCTTAGGTCCATTTGATTGGAAAATCTTTTTTCAACCCTTTATTCTGAGGTGATATCTATGTTTGAGATTATTCGGTTTTCATATCTAATCTGTTCAATCTGTTACCCTTTGACCTTTTATGGCAAATTGAATCCATTGATATTGAGGATTATTAATAACCAAAGATTGTTAATTCCCATTGTTTGGTTTTGGTGGCTCTGTGTGTGTGTGTGTGTGTGTGTGTGTGTGTGTGTGTGTGTGTGTATGTGTGTGTGTGTGTTCATGTCTGTATTTGTGTTTCCCTTCTTTGAGTTTTACTAATATGAGATTGATTATCTATCACCCGTGTTTTTGTGGGTGTAGTTAATTTCCTTGGGTTGGAGTTTTCCTTCTAGTACCTTCTGTAGGGTTGGATTTGTGGATAGATAGTGTTTAAATTTGAGTTTTCATTAAATATTTTTCCACCTATGGTGATTGACAGTTTTCTGGGATATGATAAACTAAACTGGCATCTTAGAGTCTGTAAGACATTAGTCCAGGTCCTTCTGGATTTTAGGCTCTTTGTTGAGAATTCAGGAATGATTCTAATACGTCTGCCTTTATGTTACTTTTCCCTTTTCCCTTTCTGCTTTTAACATTCTTCCTTTGTTCTGTATGTTTAGTGTTTTGATTATTATGTGGCCAGAGTATTTTCTTTCTGATCCAATCTATTTGGTGTTCTGTAAGCTTCTTCTACCTTTATAGGCATGTCCTTCTTTTGATTGGGAAAATTTTCTTCTATGATTTCCTTGAATATATTCTCTGGTATTTTGAGTTATGTCTTCTTCTTCTTCTATGACTATTACTCTTGTATTTGGTGTTTTCATGGTGTCCCAAATTTCCTGGAACCTTTGTGTTAAGAATTTTTTAGATTTAACATTTTTTGGACTGATGAATCTATTTCCTTTATTGTATCTTCATTGCCTGAGATTCTTCTCTTGTATTTAGTTAGTAATGCTTGTATCTGTAGATCTGTATCTCCTGTTTGTTTACCCTGATTTTCTATTACCAGGATTCCCTCAGTTTGTCTTTTCTTTATTGCTTCTACTTACATTTTCAGGTCTTGAAAAAAAACTTCCTGATTTCCTCCATTTTTGTTTGTCTTCTCAATTTCTTTAAGGGATTTGTTAATATCCTCTTGAGGGACCCCTATCATCGTCATAAAGTCATTTTTAAGGTCTAAACTGTTGGATAGCTGGGCTTTGGCGATGCCATATTGCCCTTTCTGTTATTGATTGTATTTTTATGCTAGCATTTAGGCATCTGAATTTGGAATGATTATAAGTCTAGGTGTTTATTCCTGCATTTGTTTTTGTTGGATGTGTATTTTGTTCCTTGGTTTCTCTTTTCTTTCTGGTCTTCTGGCCTAAATGGCCAATGGTTGTGGTGACTAGCATGTCTTCAGGTCCAGCAGGGTATCTCGTGGTGCTTGTGGGGTAGGGGTCCCTAGATTTGGCCTGGCCTCTAATAATGTGTATGTTTCCTTCTGATGTTGGAACCACAGTGTGTGTGTGTGTGTGTTTGTGTAGTTTGGGATTTTGGGGCAGGGTTAAAGGGGTTTTGTTGGCAATGTCTTACCAGAGATCCCTAGGACCAGCCTGGAATCTGCTAAGACTGCTGAGTTTGTGGCCCTAGTGTGTAGCCCAGGGGAAGCAGTGCAATCTGGGGTGACTGGGTGAGCTTTAAGGAGTGTTAATAGGCACTGAGTTGCATATTACCTGGGGTCCCTTGATCAGCCCTGGCCCCTAGTAATGCAAAAATCTTCATCTAATGGTTTGCATCAGGATATGGAGCCCAATTGAGTGGAGAGGATGTGTGCCTTTGTTTGGGTAGGTATGGCCTTGTTGGAAGAAGTGTGTCACTTTGTGGGTGGGCTTTGAAGGTTCCTCTGATCAAGATACTTCCTAGTATCACAGTCCTTCCTGTTGCTATTGCCTTCTAATCAAGATGTAGCCAGCACCATGGCTGCCAGCATGCCACCATGCTTCCTACCATGATGATAATGGATTGAACCTTTGAACTGTACCTCACCACCTCAATTCAATAATTTCACTTATAAGGGTCGTTGTAGTCATGGTATCTTTACATAACAACAGAAGCCCTAATAAAGACAGTATTGAAATCTTTATTCTACTTCATTTTCTTCCCTTCCTACTCTCTTATTTGAAGACATCAAAAATCCTGTGCTGTTCAAACACATACCAGGATACTCAAAGCAGAAAAGTGGTGATCTATTGATTACTCCCGAAATATTTTCTTCATCCAGTCAACCCCAAGTCTTACCTACTGACACTCTTGCTTTCTCAAGCCATCCTCACCATGCACCAGGCTATTGAAAAAACATACTGAGCCATCTTCCTCTCTTTTGTCACTGTCTTCTCCCAACACAGTACTCACAACAGCCCATGTTCTAATCTAAAACTCTTGTCACTGATTTATTTAATGTCATAAACTGCATACAAGTACATGTTATAAGCCTTGATTGATAATATGGTTTTCAACATGACTTTTAAGAACCCTCTTATCTTTAGCTTCCTCCAATTCCACTGCCCAAGATTGTCTTTCCTGGTGCCTCTGTGCCTCCACAGCCATTTGACAACTTAGAATTCTCTGCATCTCAGTGTATTGGCACTGCCCAATCCCTATACCAGACACAGCTGCTTGGATGAAGTGACTGATCTTGTTAAGATAACACAGTACCAATGACTTTCAAAGTCATCTGTACTTCCAACTGGCATTAGTGCTCTATGAAGCCACATACTAGGAAATTAAACCCAAGATTTAATTACTATTATTACATTTAAAAATACATATTGCTGAACTGATGTAATTCTGCTTCAATTATAAACATTAAATAAAAGAAGATACATTGTTTAGTAAATGAAAGCTCTCCTGATACCTAGAAACTGTTGTGCCCAAATTCTGAATCCCAAAATCACCAAGAGGCCCATTTCAATGCAAAAGCAAAGAGTCTTTTATTGTAGATGTTTAACGAGCTAACCCCATTAGCTCAGGCCATTCACCCCACCACAATGGCGAATGGCTGGAGAAAGACCCCAAGCAACTTCAAGGCAGGGACATTAAAGGGCAGCATAAGGGGAGTGTCTAGGGGTATGAAACAGTCTCAGTATTGGTGTGCTTCCAGGTTTGGACTACCTGCCCTGTGTTGATTGGTCAACTGGTTGTTACGGTCCATAGGCCCTCCCAGGGCAGTTGCTATGTTCTGCACGTCACTATTGTGCACTGTCCATAAAGCACAGACCCGCCAGCTAACTTCTAATTGGTTCCTTGCTATGAGGAGGGCATCTGACCTCTTCGTGACCAGGACAGAAGTGTAAGGCCATGCAAGCACATGATATCCTGTAATGGCTGCTAAAATGGGGGACTGGTCACTACAAAACCAAACATTTATGAAGGGAGATGCCATTCTGTAAATCTGTCTCTTATTGGTTGTTGAATAAAGCACTGTTGGCCAATAGAAAATCGAGATAAGTGGAACTAGGAGTCTAGGAGGGCTCTGGGAAGGAGAAACAAAGGGAGTCACGATGTAGCTGCCATAGGGGTAAGAAGTCCGGACACTTTCTCTGGTAAGAGAAATACTTAGATTAACAATTATGGAGTAAATACTTAAGTCAGAGATAGCCAATAAGAAACCAAGCAAGCGACCAACAGCTTCATAATTAATATAGTGTCTTATGTGTTGTTTGGGGAAAAACCAAAGTGGCTGGCAATGAAAAGGCTTCCCTCTACACATTTATATAGCAAACTGTTCTACAGAAAATCAATGTGAGAGCTCTGAATAGGCTGGAGACTTTATTGTTGCTATGGATTTTGACATACGACAATGAGAGATAATTAATGTTCTTTTAAGCTTTCAAAGGATTTTTATAATCTCCAAAATATTAAATAGCACTGACCTATGTGTGGAACATTGCTAAAGTAACTTTTAAATTTGGATTTTTAAGATTTAAAACACTTTCTTAACTTAACCCTAAAAATTTGACCAACATTTACCCAAGGACCAAAATTATTTAGTTAAAATCACAAATAAAATATTGATATTAAGCAAAATTTTAGAGATTATATTCAAGAAATTACTGTTTTGTCATTAAAATTTTAAGACTGTCATACCAAAATCATGTAGTAACAAACAGATTTTTAAAAGAAAATAACTTCTGAATGGTAAAATTATGCTAGTAGTTAAATATTGCAATCATGATTATCTTTTGATTTATGACTGCTAAGATAATTGGACGATACTTCGATATTTATAAATGTACCCAGACGGAGACTAAGTGAGACTAAGCCCACAGTCAAGGAAGTCAGCTGGAAATCCAGTGTGCTTACTCATATGAGAGCAGATTAAAATAAAATCTGAAAGGCAGAGCAGAGAAAAAGAAAACATGTGAAACTCAAAGCATTGGGTATGGCAATAAAAATATCAAAAATGCAGACAATTCTAGGTGACGCCCTGCACAATTAATGTTGTACATAGGTAGAACAAGAGATAAAGTGCTTAGGAGAGTAAGAAAATGAATTCATTTCATGCTATATGAAGTATGATCTAACTATGGAGATTTCACGTAGGCAATGTAATGCCTGGATCTCAGCTACAGAGAAAGGTCTATGATACTGTTTTGATTGGATTCAGAAATAGTCTTGCCCAATGAAGTTCATGCAGATGACAGAATATATAGAATAAGCATAGTCTTTGGTGTCAGGTACTCATCAGCTGTTTGACTAGACTCTGAGCTCTTGATTTAATTTCTTCATTTGCAAAACAGAATTAGTGATGGGTTAATTATAAAAAGAGTTTACTTTTTTATTTATTTATTTTTTTGTTTTTTACGAGACAGGGTTTCTCTGTATTGTTTTGGAGGCTATCGGTCCAGCTAGTTTACTTTTTATAAGACATTAGATTTAATATCAGAATTTTATATGATGATAATATAATGATATCACAATTATAATTATATAAGATATATTATCATATGTAATGATAATATAATGGATACACTTATACTTATGAATAAGCAGATAGCTGTGTTCTTACACATAGGTGTTCAATGGACACAACTGCGAGTCCCTTCCAGAGGGCCACTTTGGCAAAATAATACACTTTATTCTTCATAGCTTCCCAACCTTTAGTCTTCAAGATGAGGACATTTCTTATGTTTTCACAGTTTTCCTAAGATCTATATTTTGGGGCTTTTCCTTGTGGTTTATTCTGTGTTGCTGTTTCTAAAAGTTGCCAAGGTGAATTTCAGAGCAAGGAATTTACAAAAGGAAACATTTGACACACTGCAAGAATACTCAGAGGTATTACAGCAAAAATCAAAAAGACAGTTTGCTCTGGTTCCAGAACTGCCAAGCTATGGGTCAGTCTAATATTTTGTTCAATGTCCAAATTCTCAGAAAACAAAACTCTTCTCAGTGTAGACTATTCATTTCGTTTTCTTAATCAAAAATGTGTAGATAGAACCTCGTTGGAAAAACTACACAGCCATTTCCAGGCAAACTATTCCAGATTCTGTGATTGAATGTATGTAAGAAAATGCAAAGCCATCTTGTCTGTGAAGTGCCTCTTACCTTAGTCTTTATTCTTTGAAGTCTTCTGCGCTCCAGCCATCCCCTGATAAATGCTTGTGTAATGGTGATCAGTTTAACAATTCTTTTAGTGAACACGAGTTTGTTTTCTCCCTGGAACACTTGGAAAATTTCTATGTGTGGTCCAATTCTTTTAACTTTACTGTCCAACTTATCAGACTTCGTGACAGTCTTTAAGCTAAAAATAAAATATTAAAAACTTTTTATAAATAACTAGAAGAATAAACATATCTACAGTCTTAAATTCTTTAGATGATAAATGTACACACACACACACACACACACACACACACACACACACACACACACACCTTTTGTACTGAGAACTACTGAAGCCAGGGCCTCCTGTATAAGCACAATACTGCTAAGTTACATCCCCATCTCTTTTGCAATTTTTTAATTTGACACACAGTCTTACCAGGTTGCTCAAAGTAGCCTTGAACTCATTGTATCCTTTGCAGGTATTGAACTCATGAACTTCATATCCCAGCCTCTAACAAAGTTGGAATTACAGCCCATAACTATTAGGTCAACCTTCAATGACAAATATATTGAAACAAGAAATGTACTATGACTTAAAACATAGAAATTAAGATAACACCTCACTATAACGATAACGTTCCAAAAGAAGGCTGAAAATGCTGGAATCAATACACCATGTATAACACTAAACTTCCAAAGGAAGGAAATCCAAAAGAAGCGAATCTTTCAAATGTATCCACAACTATTAAAAGAGAAAAGGTTAGTCCAAATAATTTTCATGTCCCTACCATTCTATTCTAAATACCCAGTCATTTGTCACTTATATGCAAACCTAGCATCATCTGAAAAATACTTCTGATCCTGGACCTGGGATGGGCAGCAGTGCAGCAAACAGGATCATGGGCTATAGGATAAGCCACAGGGGGATCTTACTGGAAACTGTGATCAGCCTTCAATACAATCATGAATAACCCAGCAACACTGATGATATGCAGAGAAGAAAACTGCTAGTTCTCTGCCATGAGCATGTATGTAGTATGAGTATGTACAGTCTACTTCTCTTGCGAATTCTTAGCATATAGAAACTAAAAGTCAGAAGTATTATTTACCTCCTGGGCACATATCTAAAGGAGATCCACAGGAAGCCCACCCACCAGAGCTGCCCCTTCTCCAGCACTCAGGCCTCAGGATTTCATGCCCACTTTTCTTAATTTGCAGAGTAAATCTCAAACTAACTGTGCTTTTTTATCTTCTTCTAGCCTATTTTTATCTCTGTATTAAGTGGGTTATTAGGCACATCTCTTGTTTTATACATGTTATTATTTCTCTTGGTATGTGAAGACTCGAGAGTCTTATTTTCTACATAGCCATGAAAGTTTGGTTGTCAGCAGATAGCAAGGAATCTCAAATCTGTGTTTCGTATTTTTCTACAGTTTGACTTGAAGGCTGTGTTATCTTCTAATATGAACTGTCTTATATGTCATAGGAATACCAGCATTGCATCATTCTGGAATATGAGTTTCAACTTCATTCACAGATAGTTCTGTAGAAAAATTAGAATGGAGATTATCCCTTGATTTTAAGAGCCAGAGGACCAGGGCACCAGTTGCTGGATAGTGTCTTCTCCCTATGGCAGGGAACTACACCCATGAAATATCAGCAATACAACTGAAAAAACAAGACCTGGATAATGACATCAGCTGCCATGCCAATGGAAATGGGGGAAATTTCACAAGACATCAATCCTAGATGAAGAACTCCAGTCAGTCAGTAGATTCTAAGAGACTAAGAATTTAAGAGCCAGAAGCCCAGGTCATACCTGCTGCTAGGTAGTGTCTCCTAGACATGACAAGAAAAATACACTCATGAATTCCCAATAATACGGATGCCTGAGCAAGATAAGCATAATGGCAATACTAACTGACCTGCCTGTGTGAACAGGGAATATTCCTCAAGACCCCAGCAATAGATGAAGAGTTAGAGTTGGTCAATGGCTACTGAGAGAGGAAGAAGCAGTGTCCCCCAGGAACAATCTACTCCATAAGTCATCCAATCAAAGTGGTACACACACACACACACACACACACGCGCGCGCGCACTCACATGTAGATATTTATAGGTGTATGCATGCAAAAGTGTTAATTAAAGAAGAGATCATGAATTGGGAGGGAGCAGTGGATCACAGTAAGAGTCAGGGAGGGAGGGGCAGTAGTAATGTGGCTGCTGAGCTCACATATGATGTTCTCAAAACAAGTTTTTAAGAAATGCAATCATTTAAAATTTATTGGTAGTGTTTTTTTTAACAACTGAAAAAGAAAAGTTTTACTTTAGGGTCTAAACATACAGACATCAGTCAGTAACTGACGAATAATAACTATCATTTAAAGCAGAGAAAGAGGAGATGGAATAATTTATAGAGGACTTGCTAGAAAAAAAACTTGAATTATTCCTATATACACAGAATTAGAAAAGAAACTACAAAATATACTTAAATGATGGATGAATTTTGATGAGGACAATAATAAAACAGGCAAAAGCTTACAAATCCATGGCTATAAACGTTACATAGAGGGGCAGACAATTTACAGCAAGAGTGCTTGTCTGGCGTGCACTTGACCCTGCAAGTGGTCCCCAGCACTGAAAAACCAATCACAAGTGTAACACAGGCTGGATAAAAAAGGCAAATTTCAATGTGAAATCCTTTCTGTTATGCCAACAAGTTGATGTTCAAGTACCGACTGCTCATAATTTGACATTGAAGGAACAGTTCATGCCTTTAATATAATTTACCTAGATAATACAAAAGTTCCTGATACTAAAATAACATTCATTTTATTAGTGCTTGTAAATCATTTCCTTCCTTTTTAAAATTGACTTTTGCAAAATTTGGTATCCCTGATATTTACCATCATTTAAGCCCAAACTACTTTTTAATTTACTTTGAGAAAAGCTACAAGCCCTTCATGGGATGACATTATAAAGCCATGAAGTTTGTCACTGCTCTATGGAATTAATGTCAAGAAACAGTGGCTATTGGGAATTCCTGGTGAACATACCTGATACCAGTCATTCTAGTCACCAAGAATCCATTCTTGCCTCCCCCTCTCATTTCCCCAGATGCCCTGTGATAAGTAAGGTGTTTTCTGAAGGGAACATGGGAAGTATGAGAGCTTTATGAAGACTGTGTTTTCTAAGCAAATTTATCAAAGAAAGAAAGGACTTATGGGTACAGTCTAAAGCTGCTGTCACAACTGCACATGAGCTAGATGGGGCAAAGGGGTTCACCAGGAAGATAGGATGACTTCTCATCCAGCAGCAGAAGCTCCTAAATCCCACATCATCATAATGATCATTAATTTATAATTCCTATTTGTTTTCTAGCAAAGTTTGAGGCAAAACCCTTTGAATGATTACATACAATTTATTAATTGCCTTAACTTGAATGTACTATAAATTTAAATTTATCCAACTAAACTGTCAGTGTTCAAGAAAACAAATCCCTAATGAAATTTTGTATGTATTATAAGTTATAAATTCAACAGATATATATAAATAGAAATTAATAATACCTGCTGATCTACTTTATCTGTGAAATAAGTAAACACATAAAAATGCCTTTGTTGTGCTCATTGTATTAGTATTTCTAAATTTTAAGTAAGAATCATAGCTGGGTGTGGTGTCACTGCCTATAATCTTAGAATTTAGGAAGTAGGAAAAGCAGAATTTCAAGGCTAGCCTAGCAAGTTTGAGGCCAGGGTACAAGAGAACTAGAATTAACTGAAGAAGAGGTAACAGCTAGAGAGAGAGGGAGTGAAGGGAAAGACAGGAGGCAGGAGTGAATGAGAACAAAGGATAATGACATATACATATGAAGTGACATGCTGAACTCCATCACCTTGTATGCTACCCTAAAAAGTATGTGACTAAAAAACTGAGACACAAAAGGATGGAACAATCTTCTAGAAGGAAGTTACTGATGTCTCAGTCGTTGTCATGTGATGTAACATGCCTCAGAATATATATTTCTGTGTTTACCACATTCCTTGTTCTTCATATGATAATATTGGTCCAATAAAGCAGAATTAAAGTGTGGGTTGCTGAACAAGATTATATGCCTCAAACTGTGCCTGGTAAATGAATCTTCATCTATAAAAGCAGACAAATATCCCTAAAATAATTGGAACCCAAACTCTTTTCTGTAAACTTTCTCAGAATCCATATCAAAAAATTGTTTTAACTCACTCAGTGCTAATTTTTATAACCCATATATAAATTCAAGCTTGAGCTAGTCATTTAGCTGATGTCCACCTAACACAAAACTAGTGTACATACAGGCAAAAGCAATTAGCTACCTCCTTTCACATAGTTCAGATTTATACTCATTTCCTGAATGAAAAATTAATAGTTTTTTAGTTTCTAGTATCTAATCTGTCTTCATAGAAGTATGTATAACTCAATTCCAAAAAAATACCTCTAAGAAGTGATATCATATTTTCATAAAATCAAACATACTGCATCATGTTTCACTATGTATCTCGACTTAGGAATAATGACTTCTAAGCCTGGTTTGTGATTACATAACAGTCTGCCTTGAAGATCTTATCATGTTCTCTAAGAAAGTTTTATTGTCATTAATTAAAACAGAAAGATGGGTCTTAAAATTTTTATGAGAAACAAAAGGGAAAATGTTTCAACAACAACTTCATTAAAATAGAAATAATATGGCACCACTGTTTTCATTTTCAAAATTGTGCAGGAAATACAACACAAGTTTAATTAAAAGTTTTATTAAGGATTTTAATCTCTTTGGTGTAGGAAGGTACTCTTCAGGCTACAGAAAGAGAAACCTAGCCACCAATCCTGTCACAAAACCCTTGACCTACAATCTGCCCTATGAGCAAGATGGTGCTGGATCAATGGAGGCACAGAACTTGCGGGAGTGGCCACCCAGTGTTTGCTTTAACTTGAGGATCACCCAACAAGCGGAAGCCCATGCTTTCCACTACCTGAATATCAAAAACCAGAGACTACACAGCCCAGAAACCTAGGGTAGAACCAAACTTTTAAAAAAATCAATAAAATGACTTCTAATGGTATTCTGCTATACTCGTAGATCTGCACCTTGTCCAGTCATCACCAAAGAGGCTTCTTCTGACAGCAGTTGGGAGCTGGTGCAGGAACCCACAGACACACATT